CAAATAATAGATTTTTTTTTAAAGATTTTATTTATTTGAGAGAGAGAATGAGAGAAAGCACAAGCAGGGAGGAGGAGCAGAAGAAGAGGGATAAACAGACTCCCCACTGAGCAGGGAGCCTGATGTGGGGCTCCATGCCAGCACCCTGGGATCACAACCTGAGCCAAAGGTAGATGCTTAACTAACTGAGCTACCCAGGCGCCCCAGATTTTTTTTAATTAGAAGTCCTACAAAAGAAAAATGTAGCCATTGAAATAACAATCTAAATTCCTTTGCATGTTTCGTAGTGGATGATAGATTGGACTACATCCTGTCTATCTAAAATGAGATTTACTGGTCCTCCCCACCCTTCCATACTTATTCACAGTTAACTAAGTCTGGGACCCTGGGGGTGCTGTCGAGGTCATTCCTGCAGATTGGCCTTACCCTGCTACTTGGAATACTATTGATAGTAGCCTTAATTAAATGCTTTAAGAGACAAAGTGAACAGATTTGGTTTCTGCCTTTGTTGATCAAATTAATTAGAGTAGCTGACAGAGTGGTACACTTACATAAATATTTGAGTTCAGCCAAGAACATGTTGGGTAGATGTTGGGAGAGGCAATCTGCCATGAACTTTACAGGTATGCCAAGAATGTAGGGCCTTGACTACTCTTTACCTAGGGCATTTCTCAGGGTTGTTTGTGCAGCAAATATTGTCTCCTTCCAAAACAGAGCAGACTTGCTTCCGTTTACCATAAAAGTTGTGAATCACCCAAGCTCGGTGTTTTCTCCTGCAATACAACCCACCGCATGAGCAAGCATTTATCTGGGCCCTACGTACAGTACACTGTAGGACTTAGAGGGCATGCGGAACCTGCATAAATGTGAAGCTCTGGCTACTGCTCTTGTCATGAGTAATAAAGCCCTTTTTCTATGACCCAGGAATCTCTGGGTCTTCTGCCAGCATTCATGAATTGGTAATAGGCTCACTTGTAAGCTTGTAAGTGGGGTAAACTCTCAGATTCTGCATAGTTCTTTACAATTGCAACAATTCCAGGTAGTTTTTAAGTCAAAAAGCGAAAAGTAGGGGCACCTGGCTGGCTCAGTCAGTAGAACATGCAACTCTTGGTCTCAGGGTTGTGAGTTTGAGCCCCACAGTGGGCATAGAGTATACTTAATTTAAAAAAAATTTGTTTTTAAGTGAAAGGTAAAACAATACATTTAGTGAATTTTTTCTGGAAGAAAACATAGCAGAATATCTTCATGAACTTAGGACAGTGAAAGAGTTCATAAACAGAACCCTAAAGAAACCATAAAGAAAACATTAATATATTGGGCTGCATTACATTATACTTCTCTTCAACATAAGACATGATTAAGAGAATGAAAAGGCAAACCACAGAATGGGAGAATATATTTGTAATATATATAACCAACAGAAAGCTCATATCCAGAATATAAGAGGAACTCCTACATATCCGTAAGTAAAACATAGACCCAAAAGAAAGCTTGGCAGGATACTTGAACAGATACTCCTCAAGAGACCATCCAAATGAACAATAAAGAAATGAAAACATGCTCAAATTAATTAATAATAAGGGACTGAAACTTAAAGTCACATTGCATTGCTACCATATATTCATAAATTGGCTAAAATTTAAAAACTGACAATGCCGAGTGTTGACAAGGATGTGGATTCCAGGAATCAGTACAATCACTTCAGAAAACTGTTTGGCATTAAGCTAAACATATGCATACCTTATCAGCAAGCCGTTCTGCTCCTAGATATATGCTTGATCAAAACACAGGCACACATGGCACCAAAAGACCTGTCCAAGAGTATTCATATGAATTTTATACATAAGAGTAAATTATAAACCACCCAACTGTACAGCAACAGCAGAAAAGATAAATTATTCACACAATGGAATAGTATGCAGCATTGAAAATGGACATGAACAAAGAGAAAATTAAAATGAACAAATTATAGCTATCTGCAATAATGCAGATGAGTCTTGTAAACATGTTAGCAGAAGAGGGGCACCTAGGTGGCTCAGTCAGTTAAGCATCTGCCTTCGGCTCAGATCATGATCCCAGGGTTTCGGGATTGAGCCCTGCATCAGGCTCCCTGCTCAATAGGGTGTCTGCTTTTTTTTTTTTTTTTTGAAAAGATTTTATTTATTTATTCATCAGAGAGAGAGCACAAGCAGGGGGAGCGGCAGGCAGAGGGAGAAGCAGGCTCCCTGCTGAGCAAGGAGCCCAATGCGGGACTCCTCCCAGGACCCCGGGATCATGACCTGAGCCGAAGGCAGAGGGTGTCTGCTTCTTGCTTTGTCTCCCCCTTCTCATGCTGTCTCTCAAATAAATAAATAAAATCTTAAAAAAAAAAAAATGTTAGCAAAAGAAGCCAAAGAAGGATAGTAGAACAACTTTAAAACTGGACTGAATACAATCTGATGTGAAAAACAGTATGTATAGAGAGAGACATTACTTAATGATAAAAGGAATATTCCACAAGAAGATATAATGATCATGAATTTGCAACTAACACCAAAGTCTTAGGAAAAGGAAAATTGTCACTTACAAGGACGATTGACAAGGTCAGCCATGGTAGGAAACTTAATACACTACATTTTGCAAATACAAAAAACAATAGTCTGTTATTTATGCATATATACTTTAGTAGTAAAAATAAAATCATGGACACAAACTGTTTTCAAAAACTTCATGCTAGTGATTGCCTCTGCAAAGACAAAGAAAGAGTAAACCTATGTAGATGTACAAAGGAGGCTTTATTTTTATCTGAAATGTTTTATTTCTTATCACTTTTCGGCCTTTTGGCTAAGATCAAGTGTGAAATGTTTTATGTCTTAAGAAAGATATCTGACACAATGATAAATAATAAATTTTAAAATTCTAGACTTATGGTACATGGGTTTTATGTCATCCTATTTTATTTTTATGTATTTTTGAATTTTTTCATTATAAAACAGTAATGTACAAAAAGCAAAAACGAGTAGAAATGAAAGTAAAACTTGATTTCAAAATACAAGTATTATAAATTAAGAATTCTACAAATAGGGGCACCTAGGTGGCTCAGTCAGTTAAGCGTCCAACTCTTGGTTTCAGCTCAGGTCATGATCTCAGGGTCGTGAGATTGAGCCCTGTGTCAGGCTCTATGCTCAGTGCAGAGTCTGCTGGAGATTCTCTCCCTCTTCCTCCCCTCCGCTCCTCCCCTCTGCTCATGCTCGCTCCCTCTCTCTAAAATAAAGAAATAAAATCTTTAAAAAAAAAGAATTCTACAAATTTGGTAGAAAGAAGAATTAAATACTATCAAACAATCACATATATTCACATAATGTATTTGTGTGCATATACATATACTTATATGGAGAGATATATTTAGACATACATGTATAATAGAACATTACATCTCTTAGAGAATATATATTCTCTGAATACTTGTGGAACAAATACAAATTCAGTCATATATTTGGCCACTAAAACAACTCTTAAAATTTAAGTCAAAAAATAGCAAAATAGGCAAAGGATATGAATAGACAATTTAGAGAAAAGCATATCCAGAGAGCCAGCAAGTTCATAAAAAGATGTCAAATTTACTAGTAATTAGAGGAATACAAATTAAAGTAATAATAAGATACCACTTTTCACACATGAGATCTTCCAACATTTAAGAGTAGGTAGATCTTAAAAACACTGGTGAGTGAAAAATTAAACAAATCTATGACAAATACCAGATATATAAATTAGAAATACATACAACAAGCATGTTAAAAGGACACATACAACGAAAGGGTACACACTAGACATTAGAATGGATTCCTGGAGTAGTGGGGTGTGGGATTGGGGAGACAACAGAAATAAATGGAAAAATAAATAAAATGAACCTGTTGCTTCAGGAATGTAGAGGAATACGATACTCCAGTACTGCTGATAGAAATATGAAGTGTCACAGACTTTCTAGAAAACAAGTTGACAACGTATGTTAACATGTCCTAGAAACAGTGGAATGTTCATAAATAGGGGAATAGCTAAATAAATCCTCCATGCTGTGAAATATTATATGGCCATTAAGGGAGCATTAAAACTATACTTGATGCTTTGAAGAATTCTGTAAGATATTATTGAATGAAAGAGGGTATAAAAAAGTGAGTATACGGTGAGGCCATTTTAGGAAACAGTGATCCCCCCATCCCTTTAAATGTGTCAGTGTGTGTGTGTGTGTACGCATGCAAATGTGTATAAAAGCACAGAAAAAACTAAAGAACATACACTAGATATTAGTGGGAGGAACTAATCTAATGGAAGGGGGAAGGATAGGATGTAATGTATAGTGTATATGTATATAATGTAAAATTATATATGTGGAGGTAGTTGAAGTCAGAGATTTAAGTAAGATTTATGTTTGTTTAAGGTATGAGTTTCTCAGATAGTTGGAATTTCAGACTACATAGGAAATATGTTGGTCATATGGGCCTTGATTATTGCCTGCTCTGATAACTCTCCTTTATATATATACAATCCTGGCACTAAGTTTGTTATCTCCATGATTTGTACTATTTGTGCAATCGTTGTGGTTGTAGTTCTTTCATGATTTCATTATACACATAATTTTTAAGAAAAATAGTGAAAAGTTTGCTGGATTAATAGATAAAACTTGTCAATAAGTAGGCCCTCATCCAATATTTATTTAGGAATATGTAACTGAAATCTTGGTAGTAACTGTGTCTTAGGAATTAGAGAGACTGACTTAGGAAAAATTTTTTTTGTCATTTAGAATGCATTTTAGTAAATGAGGTATACTGAGAAAAAAATGTAAAGGAAGAGCCTCAGCCTAACAGCGCATGTTAGGCTTTTGAATCTTAGCAAGCTTTAGTTGCAAATATTGATACAAATGTACACCCTATTTATGAAAAGACTAAATGAGAAGGAACAGCATAAATATTAGGAATGGGTACCAGTACCATGTGATTTACTATATTGTATTTGTATTTCAGATGCCTGTGGTGCTTCATGAAGAACATTTCCAGATACATCACAGACATTAAGCCTTTGCCTCCCAACATAAAAGATAGACTGATTAAAATAATGAGTATCCAGGGGCAGATAACAGATTCAAATATAAGTGAGGTAAGAGTATGTACAATTGCAAAGCAAGCATATTATATTTTACTGTTAGATATGGTTTCAGATTTTTGGAGCAATAGCATTAGTAGGCTTAATTATAATTTTAAAATATAACAAAACATTGGGGCTCTTTTTTTTCTCCAGATAACCAAAATGTTCATGTGTAATAGTTGCTAAAAATCTCTCACCGTTCTTTCAGCTGCTCCCCTTGTCTTCATCATACCAGCACCCTTGATCTCTACATTTTCAAAAAGTTATAAGCTTTTTGATCAATTATACCTCAATAAGACTGGAAGAAGTAAAAATAAAAATGCAGGGTGAATACACAAAATGGCAAAAAGAAAAAAAAAACCCACAGTAAGAAATATATGCTGCATTATGACTCTGGTCCACAAACCACACTCACATGTAACCATACTACGTACAGTACACTTGGATATTTTCTACTTTATTCTGTTATGTCTTATGTCAGTTTACAGAAATGTTGATCAGAGTCTACTAAATTGATTTTATCCATTCATGGATAACAATCAGCAGTTAAAAGCCACTCTTCTAAACTCTTCTCACTCTTCTGGAGACCTCACTCCTGCTAATTGATACTAATCACTACAACTAAGCTAAAATTGGCTGTTCTATAAGGCAGTAAGTATAGTAAGGCCCTCCAACCTGAATTGAAATCCTAGCTTTGCCACTCTTTCCGACATTGAGCCTCAGTTCCCTTAACTGTAAAATGGGTTTGCAGCCATCATCACTGTCTGCCAAAGACTCTAGTCTACACTGGACTAGTCTACTGTAGAAACTCTGGTTCTAACTACCAGTTGCTGACTTTACTACACATTCTGCCCAAAGCTTATGATCAAAAGGGATCTGATGATAGTACTCTAGCACATGACTGTCCCTGTGACCTCACATTACAATTGCACTTGGATGTGCCATTTGTGTTTCTTCTAACATTAACCTGATGTACTTATAATGGTTTGTTTTCTTCATTTTAGCTTGCATTGGAATATAGACATTTTAGTGTTGTAATCTGCTTAGCTCTGTGGAGGTAGAATAATATCCCCAGGTTCTTACTGTCAGTGGTTCTGTGGATGTATCTAGTTTGTGTGTGGTCCACAGAAGAATCATTATGACGCTACAGAAAACTGGTGGTTTTCTTCTGTTCCCCACCAGCCCCATTTTGTTCTCACCCATTAGCCTATATTGCAGTGGCTTAGATTTTTGTTTTATGGCAATCCTTAATATTCATTTAAACCTAACTTTACCTGAAAAAAAAAAAAATAAACCTAATTTTACCTGAATAGAAAAGGGCTAAGGAGTGAAAGAGATAGAAAAAAACAGAAGTATGATTTCTTTGTGCTCTCCCTCGAATCTCCATCCTTACAAGTCCTACTTATGAAATTATTCAAAAAGCCAGATCTAACATCTGTTACAAAGTTGCATGCATAGTTGGATGACTGTCTTTGAAATATTTCCTAAATCTTTTTATAGTTGGATGGAGGAGGCCTTTCTAAACATGACACCAAAGTTAGAAACCAAGAAGAAAAAAATTGGTGGATTTGATTACGTAACAATATGAACTTCCTTATAGCTAGAAGAAAAAAAAAGAAGCAAAGTCAAGTAACAAACTAGGAAAAATATTTGTAATACACATGCAATTCTAAAGGTTTGTTATCTTGACAATTTAAAGAATCCCTACAAACCACTAAGAAAAATTAAAACAAATACTAAAACAAAGAATCAGGAAATACTCAAAGGAAAATATATAAATCACTATTAACATATAAAAGGAAATTTAACCTCATTAGTAATAAAAGTCACAGTTTGTCTTTCAGTTTGGCAGACTTAAAAAATAATAATACCCAGTGTTGACAATAGTGTGGGCAATAGTCACTTTTATCTCCTATTGATGGGAGTATAAATTGATAAAAAGCCTTTTAGGAGGACAGCTTGCCATTAACTATCAAAAGTCCTAAAAATGTGCTTACTATTGACTCAACAATTTTAGTCCTAGTATTTTTCGAGTTTTATTGAGATATAATTGACATATAACATTGTGTAAGTTTAAAGCAAATAACGCAATGATTTGATGCATTTATACATTGCAAAATGATTACCACAGTGGGTTATTTAACATCTCCATCACTTCATATAATTACCATTTACTTCTGACATCAATCCCAAGAAAATAATAATAGGGAAAGCACACAAGTGTGCTTATCATAGTATTTATAATAACAGTTGACATATATAGCATACATTATAAACCAGGCATCTTTACTTCTCACAAAATATTAACCCCATTTTAATAATGAGGACATTGAGGCCCACAAACACATACAAAAACCAGAGCTTGATCATATTCATAGGGTTCAAACTCAGGCAGTCTGCCTCCAGAAGACATGTTCTTAATCACTATACTATATTGCCTCCTAAATCAGCCTAAAGGTTCAGCTGAAGCGTTTGTCAGGTGCCTCAATTCCCTGATTTGTAAAATGGCAGTGACCAATCTTTCAGGGGTGTGTCTGTGTTTGAGACAGAATATTAAATGACATAATGTATATAACACACTTAGTACCCTTCCTGGTAAGTGCTCAATAAATAGAAATATTCTTATCATTTTTATAACTTTTCTATATTCTCTGAATCTTTTACAACAATAGTACATCACTTTTTTTCAGAAAAGTAAAGCCGTTTCTACTTTGGAAAAAAATAGAAAGCAGCTTGCTTAAGATTCTCTTTCCCTGGGGCACCAGGTGGCTCAGTGGTTAAGCATCTGCCTTCGGCTCAGGGAATGATCCCAGGGTCCTGGGATCAAGCCCCACATTGGGCTCCCTGCTTGGCGGGAACCCTGCTTCTCCCTCTCCCACTCCCCCTGCTTGTGTTCCCTCTCTCGCTGTGTCCCTCTCTGTCAAATAAATAAATAAATAATATCTTTAAAAAAAAAATAAAAAGATTTCCTCCCTCTCCCTCTGTCCCTTACCACTCCCTCATTCTCAAAAAAAAAAAAAAAAAAAGAAAGAAAGAGCCAAGGAAGAGAGCTCAGAACAATTTAAAATCAATTTGCTATTTGTTGCCCTTAAGTAAATATTCAATAATACTGGGTTTGTTTGTACGCGCTCCCAATAAGAATAAAGGAGGTAAATGTTCTAGAAAAGCAATACTCACATCCTATAACCGTTCAGTATGTAGAGACTAAATACTCATACCTGCTGAGTAGAGGCACATAGCTAGGATCTCTAATAACAGTCAGGAACTACTGGAAAAAGATAAGCACATGCCAGCACCTTGAATCTGCTTCTCAGTTCTAGTGGGTCCTTACGCTGTACCAGCCGCATCAACAATGCTATGTGTTCCAGTAAAGACTTTGGGGGCACTAGAAGCTGTACCTCCAGTTGGAAGTGGACTTGTTTCTTCCTGCTTTACGTTTTATGTGTCTGCACTCAGATAGGTTTTGCTCTGGTTTCCATCCACCATTTGTCTGTCATCGCCACCAAAACACTCAACATGGAATAAACATTTATTATATTTATAGGAAAAATTAAGTTTTCAAAATCATGTATTTTTTACAGATTTTACATCCTGAAGTCCAAACTCTAGATCTACGAAGCTGTGATATTTCAGACACTGCTCTCCTGCACCTGCGCAACTGCAGAAAACTAAAGAAATTAAATTTAAGTTCCTCAAAAGAAAACAGAATTTCCATAACTTCAAAGGGTATGTTTATTAACACTGAATAAATTGGTAGATTCCTATTCACCATCTAGTATAATTAATATGTCAGAAGTGAGTATGAAGATGTCAAAGAAACAGAAACTGTACTTATCAATAAAAATATTCAAACTAGGGCGCCTGGGTGGCTCAGTTGGTTAAGCGACTGCCTTCGGCTCAGGTCATGATCCTGGAGTCCCTGGATCGAGTCCCGCATCGGGCTCCCTGCTCGGTAGGGAGTCTGCTTCTCCCTCTGATCCTCCTCCCTCTCATGCTCTCTGTCTCTCATTCTCTCTCTCTCTCTCAAATAAATAAATAAAATCTTAAAAAAAAAATATTCAAACTAAGATAAAGAATCCAAATTAGAATTCCTGCTTATAACCGTTGCTGAAAGTTAAGAAATATACTGGGTAAGTCACTACTTGTAATCTAAACGTATATGAAGTAGGCATGCCTGGGTGGTGCAGTGGGTTAAGCATCTGACTCTGGGTTTTGGCTCAGGATCACGATCTCAGGGTCATGAGATCAAGCCCTGCATCCAGCTCCACGCTAGTGAGGCGTCTGCTTAGAGGTTCTCTCTCCCTCTCCCTCTGACCTGCCCCCCCAACCCCCGTGCTCTCTCTCTCAAATACATAACTAAATCTTTAAAAAGAGAGAAACATATTTATTTATTTATTTTGAAACATATTTAAAGTAAACATGGATGGACATCCATATACAAGAGCTCAGAACACTTTGACATTCATTTGCTATTTAGCAGTTCATACTTTAAGGCTTTCTTGATGCTAAATTACCACAGAAAGTTAAATCATCATCACATTAAACTTACTAGGCACTCTCTTATCAGTCTGTACAATGATAGCTTGTTTTTTTGTTTTTATGGTTTTTGAATTAAAAAAATTTTTTATCGGCGTAGAGTTGACATACAATGTTATATTAGTTTCAGGTGTACAACTGCGTGATTAGACAACTGTATTCATTCTGCTCTACTCAGCACAAGTGTAGCTTCCATCTGTCATCATACAGCACTATTACAATACCATTGACTGTATTCCCTATGCTGTACGTTTTTTCCCCTACAATGCATAGTTTTTTATAGCCAGTCAAACTGCATTTTTCAGTGACACTAGAGGATTTTTTACCCTTTTTTTAATCAATAAAGGATTTTAACCTTTTCCTTCAATGTAAGAAAGACTTATTTGGCTAGCTAGGTTTCTGGAAAATGTTTTGAGTAGTTTGCTGTATTTTGCAATTATTGGTTAGCAAGTTAGGCTATTCATAATATTACAAAGAAGCATAAGTTTTTAAATATTTACACAAATAATGCCTCACTAAAAAGAACTTTCATGCTGGACACTAATAAATAAAACAAAAGTTCTTTCAGGGAGGTAAAAAATTAATTAATTAATTAATTGAAAGTCCTTAAGATATGGAGAAGAGTAAAAAAGACCTACACATGAATTCACCATATTCCCTTTTGTGTATTTTGCTCATAAAGTTATCTTTTCACACTGTTATAATGTTTATGCATGACTGAAGGGCCCAGGATCCGCAAAGTACTCTTTTATTTTTGTGACACATTATCATGTACCAGTCTCCAATGTGCATTTACATCAATTTAATTGGATTTAAAAGTCAAAAGGGGAAGAGAGAATAGAGAGACAGAAGTATGATTCCTAAGGATAAGCATGAAAACTATCACCTAAGACATTTGGGCAATTTAACTTTTGATTTCCCTTCAAGAGTCCACAAGAAAATTAACTTTATTACTTTAAAACTTTGGTTGTAACAAAAAGATTCATCTATTATTTAATGACCTAATTTGATTCTGAATGACTTTTGGCTATTTCCTAAGGGCAAATTTACTTGTCAACAATAAAGGCTTGCCATAAACTACAGCCTATGGTAGACAATTCCTGAAATATTCCAAAAGAGTTTTAATAATGACAGCATCACTGGAAGATAAGTATATCCTCAGAGATGGACTACTTTGCAAAAGGCTAACATACAGTTGGGTGTATCAATACTGGTGATTGCTAAAATGAAAATCAGTCGCATTTCTCATATGTATACATATATAGCTCATTGATACGTAATTGTTTTCCCTCAGGAGTAAAAGCTGTGGCTTCCTCTTGTTCGTACCTGCATGAAGCTTCTTTGAAAAGATGCTGCAATCTCACTGATGAAGGAGTCCTTGCTCTTGCATTCAACTGCCGGCTGCTAAAGATCATTGATTTAGGTGGCTGTTTAGGTATTACCGATGTGTCCTTACATGCATTAGGAGAAAACTGCCCATTTTTGCAGTGTGTTGATTTTTCAGCTACTCAGGTAAATGAAATATAGACTTGAAATATAAAGACTGTGTGTGTTTGCCCAGTGAACTTCCATGACTCATCAGAAGAACATAATTAATTTTTTTGGTTTTTGTTGGAATTGTTGACCACCTCATGCTTCAGTGGTTATAGAACTGCAATATAACTTGGCACAATCCCCTCAATTATTTTAAGTAAGGGTGAAAAAGATAAGTGTGGCTAAAACATGTTTGCTGAATGGGAGGCAATAAAACCATATATAAGTGATTAATAATATTTGGAAAATTTTACTTTGATCTTTCCCATTTATGTGCCATGTTGATTGTTCTCTTTGCTTAGGTATCTGACGATGGCGTGGTTGCGCTTGTTAATGGATCTTGTGCCAAGAAATTAGAGGTAATTTTAAGATATCTATAAAGTTGATGCTAACTAAATTTTTATATTATCCTCAGAAATTGCTTTTTGAATGTAGAAAACAACCAGTGCCTTATTATCAATTAGGTGTTTCCATGGCGTGTTTTTGGTTTGGTTTGGTTTGGTTTTTGCCTCTACCTCGTTATTTCCAGAGTAAGGAAAAACTGGTAAAGTTAGGAGGTAAAGCATGCTTTAAATAAAAACCCATTTTACTTCCAGTGAAAGTCCTCATTTTCCAGAAGTTTTAGCTTCTAACACATTGAAGAATAATCTTATTATAGTGAAGATTATGAAAGTCCATCAATGTGAAGTGATATTCTTTAGAATTTTCATTACCAGGCCTACTTAGTGGCTTGCCATCCTACTTTCTTAATATACATGCAGGGATCCAGAATATGCCTGTCACATAAAAATTATTTTGAGCTAAAGATGTTTAAGAATCAACAGATGCAAAAAGAGGCTTTGTCTGAAACACTCTCCCTCCATCTGCCTAAAAACAGAGCCTTCCAAAAGAATTCAGCTGCCATCAAACCCCTTCAAGGAAGACTATCCAATCCCAGGGAAGATCACTCCTATCACTGGAGGAGTCAGATGAGAAATGACATAAAAGAAAATTGTCACAAGACTATCACACCTCCCCATCTACTCTCTAAAAGCCCACTTTGTTTTTCCTAAAAGTCATCTGTTTTTCTCTAAGTGTCCTTTCTCCCCCTCCCTTTCTCCTATGAAAATGATCTATAAACTCTATACTGTAGCCATTTCTTTGAACCACTTTCTTTGTGAGCTTGTGTGTGACCAAACTTGCCTTTTCTCTTGCTTGTCTGTCTTTGTCATTTTAATTCACAGGCTCCCAAAGATAGAACCTAATAAGAGGAAAAAGGTTTTCCTCCCCAACAGCCACATTGTGTTCAGGCCTTCCATTCAGTGACTGATGTGGCACCTATAAACTGCTTCTAAATATATTAAGAATCCTTTTATCCCAGGATTTTGGTTTCCTCCTTTCCCGGTTTATAGTGAGGTTTTTAGTCTTATTTAATATAGATGTGCTTTTCATGGGGCACCTGGGTGGCTCAGTCATTAAGCGTCTGCCTTTGGCTCAGGTCCTGATCCCAGGGTCCTGGGATGGAGCCCCGCATCAGGCTCCCTGCTCAGTGGGAAGCCTGCTTCTCCCACTCCCCCACCTGTGTTCCCTCTCTCCCTGTGTCTCTCTCTCTGTCAAATAAATAAATAAAATCTTAAAAATAATAATAATAATATAGATGAGCTTTTCAATGATGAGCCACATCAGGGGTGCCTGGGTGGCTCAGTCGGTTAAGCATCTATCTGCCTTCTGCTCAGGTCATGATCTCAGTGTCCTGGGATGGAGCCCAGGTAGGCTCCCTGCTCAGTGCAGAGTCTGCTTCTCTCTCTCTCCCTCTGCCCCTCCCTCCTGCTCATGCTCTCTCTCTCTCTCAAATAAGTAAATAAAATCTTAAAAAAAAAAATCAGCTACATAAATTCTTTTTGGAAGCAAACAGGCTATAAATGAATTATAAATGTTAGCAATAACTATCATAAAAGAATAACAGTATCATGTTTTTGCCAAAATATTTCTCCTTGAGTTATTGCCCAGAGACAATTTTTTAATCTTTTTATATCTAAATCCTGCTTATACGTATGTGTGTGCACGTGTATGTACATATAGCGTATATATTTTTACAAATCTTTTGATTAAGAAATTACCATATTTTCTTATACTGAGTTCCAAATTCCAAATTGCATGCTAACTGTAGGGGCAATAAACTCTGCCATAATTTTTACTGTTTGAAACACTAACATTTATTGAGCACTAACTATATTCCAGCCTCCACACTTATTACTGCTTTATATTCATTAGGTTATTTAGTTCTTACAATAACATTATCTTATAATCATCATTTTTAATAAAGTTCCCAAACAGTTAACATAGTTTATCATTCCCTAATAAAACCACCAGGAAATTTGTTGTCATGCAGTGATAGGAAACATACCTACGTATTTACTTCAGTATTACAAAATTAGGAGTTCGTTACCAACCTAAGCAGACTTAGAAAAAGATTCAGGGGCGCCTGGGTGGCTCAGTCGTTAAGCGTCTGCCTTCGGCTCAGGTCATGATTCCACGGTCCTGGGATTGAGCTCCACGTCGGGCTCCCTGCTTAGTGGGTAATCTGCTTGAAGATTCTCTCCCTCTGCCCCTCCCCCCATGTGCATGTTCTCCCTCTCTCTCTCAAATAAATAAATAAATCTTTAAAAATAAAAAAGAAGGGCGCCTGAGTGGCTCAGTCGTTGAGCGTCTGCATTCGGCTCAGGTCATGATCCCAGGATCCTGGGATCCATCCCCGCATCAGGCTCCCTGCTCAGCGGGAAGCCTGCTTCTCCCTCTCCCACTCCCCCTGCTTGTGTTCCCTCTCTCGTTGTGTCTCTCTCTGTCAAATAAATAAATAAAATCTTTCAAAAAAATACAAAAAAAAAAAAAAAGAAAAAGAAAAAGATTCAGTTACCAATAAGTGCTGGCGATTATAGTGCCATACTTTAAATTTTTTATTTTTTTCAATTTTCCAAATCTTATTTCTGTAAGTGCCAAAACATTTCAACGGAAATCTTTCTAAACTTTATTAGAACTTAATTCCTTCCTTAAACAGAGTAAATATACTTTAACCTTTGTCTCATAGCATCTAGTATTTTTGTGACCACAATTTCTGACTCAAATTGAAATACAAACTTTTTCATCTTTTTTACTGACTTTTCTCTTGTGGGCAATATGTGTTCCTACCTTTTATCACGTGTTCTGTTTTAATCTGTTGCTTTTCATATGTTCTGTTCCTGGAAATTATATTATCAGTGTTGCTTAATTGTTTATAATTTGAAAATAAATTCGATCAAAAGTCCAAGGACCTCGGGACACCCAGCTGGCTCAGTCAGTAGAGCATGCGACTCTTGATCTCGGGGTTATGAGTTCAAGTCCCATGTTGGGGGTAGAGTTTACTTAATAATAATAATAAAAAGTCTAAGAACCTCTCCTAAAGATTGACAAACAACATATTAAAACATTTATTGAATGTCATGATTGTTTCTGAAATGTCTGTTGATCTGAGTTCCCGGTGGGCAGAGACCATTTTGTTCATCATTTTATCATCATTTTATCCCCATATTTTACTGAAGTTCCAGGCACAAGATAGTCCCTCAATAAATGTTATCATACTAACTTTATATTATAGTCATATTTATAAGTTTCTATAATCTTCATGGTTAAAAGTTTGTTTGCCTGTAGAATTTCATTTATTCAACAAATATTCATTAAGTACCTGCTATGTTCTAGACATTGGTACATCAGAGAACAAAATCTGTTCATAGGATGGATCATTTCTTTCCTTTTTGTTGTTGGTAATTCAGATTATTTTCAGTTTTTAGCTACTAGAAATAATCATATGTTGGGTTTTATACTTTTTTCTTCCATTGCTGTAATGAACTCCAAAAAACAGAACAAGTGGATCAATAGGTATGGCTACTTTAATGGTCCTAAATTCGTATTATAAAATTGGTTCCCATGAAGGTTATGTTGTAAATTCACAGTTTTGCGAGGATCCCAGTTTGCAGCATTGAATTTTTTTTTTATGCCTCAATATATTTTAAATGTTGGACACTATTCCTTCCATCTGTTCTCAAATTGTATTTCTTTGTCTGTAGCCTTCACCAATTTATATCTATATCATAGGACATGTTTGCCAATTTATAACAAGATGCTTTTTTCCTCAATTTTTATGAGTTTTCAATATACTCAGGTTTCCTTTATTTGTAAGATATGATTGATTATAATAGTATACCAACTTAATATCAACTTTTCAGGAGGAAAAAATATTAATACCATAAATATACATGTCAACTATTAGATAAATCTTACTTCCGGAATTCTTAAAATGTCTTCTATTATGGTCAAATATACACAACACAAAACTTACCACTTTAACGATTTTTTGTGTACAATTCAGTGGAATTGAGTACATTCACATTGTTGTGCAGCCATCGCCACAATCCATCTCCAGAACTTTTTCCTCATCCTACACTGAAACTCGTTACCCATGAAACAATATCTCCCCATTACCCCTTCCCCTCAGCCTCTAGCTACCTCTGTTCTACTTTCTGTCTCTATGAATTTGCCTATTCTAGATAACTCATAGAAGTGGATCATACAATATTTGTCCTTTTCTGTCTGACTTATATCACTTAGCCTAATGTTTTCAAGGTTTATCTGTGTCCCTGCATGTGTCAGAATTTAATTCCTGGGGCACCTGGGTGGCTCAGTTGGTTAAGTGTCTGCCTTCTAGCTCAGGTCATGATCCCAAGGTCCTGGGATCGAGCCCCGCATCGGGCTCCCTGCTCAGCAGGGAGTCTGCTTCTCCCCCTGCCCCTCCCTCCTACTTGTGGTCTCTCTCTTTCTCTCAAATAAATAACTAAAATCTTAAAAAAAAAAAAAAGAACGTCATTCCTTTTAAGACCGCATAATATTCCATTGTATATATATGATATATTCATATATATATATACACACACACATGTGTATATGTTTATATGTGTTTATATATATATGCTTATAAGTGTGTATATATGTACATAAACATTTCATTTATCCATTCATCTTTCAATACTTGTTTCCACCTATTCTCTACTGTGAATACTGCTGCTATGAGCATAGATATACAAATAATCTGTTCTAGTCCCCACTTTCAATTCTTTGGGTATATACCTAGAAGTGAAATAGCTGGATTATATGGCAATGCTGTGTTTAATTTTTTAAGGAACTGCCATACTATTATCACAGTGGTTGTACCATTTTACATTCCCACCACCAGTGCAGAAGGATTCCTCATTAGGACACAAAACGAGGGATATATATTTCTAACATATGGAAAAGGATAGAAAGTAATATAACACAAACCTGTGGACCAGCCACTTAAATTTTAACATTTTCCATACTTATTTTAGTTCCTTGTTAAAAATTATATGTTACATGTAAAGCTCCCTGCACATTTATTCTCCCTTTCTTCCTTCAAAGTAACCACATTCTAAAGACACCTGTTTATTTTTCCTTGTGTGTTTGTATACTTTACCTATATATGGATAGACACATATAGATCCATAAACAAGATATTGTATTGTCTTATGTTTTAAACTTTCACATAATAGTTTTATAATATATGTGTTCTATTACAGTTTGCTTTTCATTCAAAATTAATTTTCCAAGCTTTATTAAGGTATAACTTGCATGCAATAAAGTTTACCCATTTTAAGTGTACAGTTTGATGAATTTTGGTAATTGCTATACAGCCTTTAACCACCACCACAATAAGGTATAAAACATCTCCATCACCCTACAACATTTTCTCCCACCCCTTTGCAATCAGTTCTCTACCTGCTTCCATCCCCAGGCAACCAGTGATTTACTTTGGCATTATAGTTTTAAAGTTTCTAGAAATTCATATAAATGGAGTCATGCAATGCCCAGTTTTTTTGTTTTTTACTTTTTTCTTTTACTTTTTTTTTTTTAAGATTTTATTTATTTTGACAGAGAGAGAGAGTACAAGCTGGGGGAGCGGCAGGCAGAGGGAGAGGGAGAAGCAGGCTCCCTCCTCAGCAGGAAGCCCGATGTGGGGTTCGATCCCAGGACCCTGGGATCATGACCTGAGCCAAAGGCACTTAACCATCTGAGCCATCCAGGCGCCCCTCTTTTACTTCTTTCATTTAGCACAATGTTTTTGAAATTCATCCATGTTGTTGCATGTGTTACTGTTTCATTACTTTTATTTGTTTATTTTGCTGAGTAGTGTTTCATAGTGTGGATATGACACAGTTTGTTCAGAACGGGTGAATGTACCATTTGATGGATATTTGGGTGGTTCTAATTTTGGACTGTTATGAATACTACTATAGAAATTTGTGTACAAGTCTTTGTGTAGACATACATTTTCATTTTTCTTGGGTAAACACCTAGGAATGGGATTATCATATAGTAAGTACACATTTAGCTTTAAAAGATAAGACGATACTGTTTTCCAAAGTGTCTGAACTAACATTATGTTTGAGATTTATGTCTATTAATACAAGTAGATATTTTTCATGTTAACTGTTTCATCTGTTCCATTAATAAACCACCATTTGTTTACCCATTATCCACTTTTTTACTATTACAAATAATATTAAAATGAGCACATTTATAAATTGTTTCCTTGGGCACATATACAAGAGTTACTCTGTATAGTGGACATTTTCAATTAGAACTGCTGGGTTCTGGAGTATACTCATCTTCAGTTTTAATAGATTTTGCCATATTGCTCTATAAAATGATTGGGCACTTAACTTTTAAATCATCTATACTTTCCAAATTACTGCATACTTACATTAGTCCTTTCTATTGAATGTTTCTTGCAAGTAGATATTTGGTTCTTTTTGTTTGTTGTTTAAAGATTTTTTATTTATTTGAGAGAGCGAGCGCACAGAGGGAGAGGGAGGGGGAGAAGCAGACCTCCCCTCTGAGCAGAAAGCCTGACAACATGGGGCTTGATACCAGGACCCTGAGATCATGACCTGAGCTGAAGGCAGCTGCCTAAACAACTGAGCCACCAGGCACCTCTGTTTGTTGTTTTTTGTTTTATTTATTTGAGTAATCTCTATGCCCAACATGGGGCTCAAACTCATGACCCCAAGATCAAGAGTCTCATGCTCCTCCAACTGAGCCAGCCAGGCACCCCTGGTTCTTTTTGTATCAGGGTAGTTCCCAAGCTTTTTCATGCTGTCATCGTAAATCTGTTTTTTCTTTTGACTATCCTTTCTTTATTTTTAAATAGGAGATTCATATGGGACATTGTGTGAATCTGACTGATGAGGCTGTAGAAGCTGTCCTCACTTGCTGTCCTCAGATACGTATATTACTCTTCCATGGATGCCCCCTAATAACAGGTTAGTATGATAGATTGGGTGGTTCAAATCCTGGCTTCATCTTTTAGTAACTGTGTGACCTTAAGTAAACTGCTCAACCCATTCCATTATTCCGTTTCCTCATCTGTAAGATGGATATAATAGCAGTACTTACCTCATAAGCTTAGTCATGATAACTATCTGACAGCACTTTATATGGTGGCTAGTCCATAGTGAAAGCTCAATAAATGTTAGTCGTGATGATGATGGTAGAGGTCTTGATAATAAACATGATGTTTTATGTAGACAAAAAAATTCAAGCTTAAAATATTACATCTATTAAATATGCTGAATGACCTGTTGACTCTAATCTCATCAAACTATAGCCATTGAGATTCAGACCAATTTGGACTCTTAGGCTAATGTGATAGATACTTCACTGAAGGAGAACAAAGTAGTCACAGCCCATTTGGCCTGTATAAGAGCCATGATACTGGAAATAAAAGGTGCAGCATAGGGAATATAGCCAATGATATTGTATGGTAACAGATGGTAGCTACATTTGTGGTGAGCATAGCATAACGTATTCAGGACAATTTGGATTCTTAGGCTAATGTGATACTTCACTGAAGGAGAACAAAGTAGTCACAGCCCGTGCGGTCTGTATAAGAGCCATGATACTGGAAATAAAAGGTGCAGCATAGGGAATATAACCAGTGATATTGTTGTATGGTGACAGATGGTAGCTACATTTGTGGTGATGATAGCACAACATAGAGAGATGTTGAACACTATGTTGCACACCTGAAACTAATGTAATATTGTGTGTCAACTGTACTCCAATGAAAAAAACTTTTTTTAAAGAAAAAAGAGGGGCACCTGGGTTGCTCAGTTGGTTAAGCGTCCAACTTTTGATGTCAGCTCAGGTCTTGACCTCAGGTTGTGAGTTCAAGCGTTCAAGCCCCATGTTGGGCTCCATGCTGGGTGTGGGAGTGTGGAGCCTACTTAAAAAAAAAAAAGGACTACTAAAGATACAAAACATAAAGATTTTACCTTTAAAAATATTTTATTACTTAGGGGTCACCTGGGTGGCTTAGTTGGTTAAGCATCTGCCTTCAGCTCAGGTCGTGACCCTGGGGTCCTGGGATGGAGCCCCACATCGGGCTCCCGGCTCACTGGGGGGTCTGCTTCTCCCTCTCTCTCTGCCCCTCCCCCCACTTGTGCTCTCTCTCTCTCTCTCTCTGTCTTTCAAATAAATAAAAATATAATCTTTAAAAGAATATTTTATTACTTATAAAATCTAATAGAGCTAATAGTGATATATAAGAACATAAATTTTAAAATTGCAAAAATATCATTTTGGTATCACAATTTATAAAATAATGAATAAAATACTATATTATTGTGGGAAAAACAGAGCCATGATACTATATATGACTGTGTCCTGAAACCACAGCACCTCAGCCCTTTTGCATTACACCAGGAATGGGCCACGTACCACAGGATAACCTGTACCTGACCTGTAAGTTAGCACTGATGTCCAGTCCTTCCAGCTCATTTCTCTAATTACAGTCTAAATAGTTACTCTCTAGGTTGAGTTATGATCCTAGAAATCCTCTTAACAACCTCTGTTCTTTCTTATGTATGGACTGTCAGTGTAAACCAAGTGTACAACGGGGTGTATTTTGTATCAGTGGCATCTATAATGAAGACTAAATCTTTTGGGCCAAGACATTTCTCAAAAAACTAAAGCCAAAAGGACATGAGAAACTGTTAACAGTGCTTACCTCCAGGGAAAGTTGTGGAGGGACAAGAGTAGGAAAATCCTGCATTATACACCCTTTGTACCTTTTGAATTTTTATCATGTGAATGGTTTTATCTATAAAAATTAGTAATAATAGTCTTTAAAAAATCACTTAGAACAAGAAAAACTCATGGGACTGAGTGCAGGAGATTGGTACCTGCATATATTATTGGTTGTGAGAAGGCAAACAGAGGTTTTCTGGTCATCAAACAAGGCAGAAAATTGTATTCTAACCAGTAGGCTCTTATTTTAAGCTGGAGGAGACCACAGTATATGGAATGTATAACAGCAATCTTTGATAATCTTTCCAGAATACCAATCAAGTTGTGTAAATCTATCCACTGAGCTATGTTTGATCAATATATTGAACAAGCAAGGGGTACTTGTAAACTGATTCTATTTTCTTCACACTACCTTATTGCAAATCTGCTCTAAAGAGGCTAATTTTTCCCTACTGCCAGATGAAATCTCAGGTGCCATTGACTTATCATTCTCAGATAGTCAAAATGTCTTGCCATTCTGTATCACTGAAACCTCTCATTTCAGTAATTAAAATGTCTTAGGTCCATGCAGTAGTCCGAACAAGTTCAAGCTAAAGCTTTTGCTCCTCTAGTCAGCTCAGATTTGGCTGCAGTGGGTAAGGGGACATTGTTGGTTTCTGTATTTTACCATCCCTCACTTCTCTTCTTTCTTCCCCAGCTTGCTCACCGTGGTTTCTGATCCCACCTATGTTAGTACAGGGTGGGACTGGTATAAGCAAGAACAGAGGTAAGGGAAGGAAAAGTCTTACTTGACCAGTGCTACTGTGATCAAGGGTCAGCACTCCAGGCCCTGTGGGTGAGCTGATCCGTCCTCTCTCAAAAGTGGGGCACTTTTGGGGTTCTTCAGGGCCCACTTCCTACCAGCCCCTCATCATTGCATATATCTCCTATCTGCAATTCTCTTGATTCAAGCCAGGATGTCTCTTCTGGTTAGTAGCTACTATTTTCTTCCTCTCTCCCCAGGCATCCAGCAATATACCTTCAGTCTCTTTCTGCTCAGGTTTCCTAACTTAGTTGGGTTCCTTTCATGAGCAAAATATAAGGCAAACCCATGGCAGCCCTCATCTGTCCACAGGAAACACATACTTTAGGCAGTAAGAGTGCAGATACGTCCCAGCCTCAGTCTCCTCTTTAGCTACAGAGACTCTCACGATAGCCTTTTGCCCTTTAGTTTTCTCAGATGTGGGTCTGAAATTAGTGTCCTGTGTCCTCCAAGCCCAAGAGACATATCAGACTCTCCAACCGATCTCCTTAGAGTTTCCTTTCACTGGGCTTGAATGGAAAAGCAAGCACCTCCAGCCCTCTTTCCAGAACTACAATCACTTTTGTTTTCAAAGAAATCCTTTCTTCAATTTCCAACTCTCCATCCCTTCTCACTTTAACACTTTTGTATCTTTGAATGGATGAAGTGCCATGGATTCCAAAATCAGATTTCAGCCAAGCATTTACAAGTCATATATAGGTCTGGAATCTCACTGGAATGGGAGAGAGTAGCTGGTACCTCTAGTCCTGGAACCTTAGCTGAAATAGTTCTATTTTAATGTTCTATTATATTTGTCTCAGGATAACTTGACTAGGCAACATATTATAAAATCAACCTTTGCTAATTTTACCTTCATGATCTTTCTGGTTACCCTGTGGACACTCTTCTTTGATATTACCCCCAAACTCAGTAAGCGGTCATTTCTTAAAGGTTAGTTGCAGTGTGGAAGGTGAAAATATATCAATGAACTTTTTATACACTCACATTACAATCCATTCATCTGTCTTGTATTTTGATTGGATCTTTTACCCATACGTGATTTTGTAATGTCATGCATTGGCAGTTTGGAAAATATTGGCTCTCTTAGTAATATAGATCTTCCAATGTCAACACATTTTATTATAGCAAAAAAATCACATTTGTTAATATCACCACTGGGTAGTTGTCAAGATCATAATGATAGCTACAAATTTTCCAAAATCCATTTGAAAGCTAAAATTTTATCATTGGCAACAAACTGTGACATTTGTTTTCTTTGAAGTGATAGGCTCATTTTGCTCTTTTTCAAGAAGTAATCTGTGCTGGCTGGGAGGTGGGTGGGGGGACAGGGTAACTGGTGATGGGCATTAAGGAGGGCACTTGATGTAATGCGCAGTGGATGTTACATGCAACTGATGAATCACTAAACTCTACCTCTGAAACTAATAATACACTATATGTTAATTAATTTATTTTAAATTTAAAAAAAAAAAGAAGAAATAGTCTGACAGGTACCCAAGTCTGAATAACCTTAGGTTGTCAGCTGTTCTTTCAAGTAAAAATGATGTTCCATGAATAAAGTGAATATCTTAGCTCACAACCCTAAAAGGGTCTCAGACTGTAGGATCCACAGACCACACTTTGAGAACCATTGCTTTACAGTAAAGAATAATTATCAGTTAACTTTAGCAGTTGGAGCAGGAACACAATACCCCTTTCAAATCACTTCTTATATTTTCATGTGGGTTTACTAGAAGTGAAAGTACACATTAAAATGAGAGGAGTTTGAAATCCTTGGAATAGAATAACAGTAGTTTTGACCTAGAAGATTATCTAGGCCAGCATGTACCAACTGTTACTGCTATGTAAATGAACCAAAGATGGCCTCTATGTAGTTTCTTTTTTTTTTCCTTTTTAAAGATTTTATTTATTTGAGAGAGAGAGAGCACAAGCAGGGGGAGCAGCAGAGGGAGAGGGAGAAGCAGGCTCCCCGCCGAGCAGGGAGCCCGATGCGGGGCTCGATCCCAGGACCCCGGGATCATGACCTGAGCCGAAGGCAGATGCCTAACCAACTAAGCCACCCAGGCGCCCCTACATAGTTTATTTCTTCATAACAGATTGGGACTGTTCAAAAAGCCACCGGCATCAGAATCTTTATTCATTCAGTGATTTGAAATACAGCCTAAAGAAGCAGATTTTTAGCATCTAGAGCCTGCCTGCTTTGCGTACCCTGAAAAACTGCACTCAGGCCACTCCTGCCCTTTGGAGCTCTCTGACCCAGAGACTCCCTTATCTTGATGCTGAGCAACATCATGACACACAAACCTCCTCTGCAGCCCTCTGGGAATTCCTTTACCCTCCTTCCCTTCTCAGTAGTGCCCCCACCACTCTCGATCTCTCTCTCTCTCTCTCTCTCTCTCACACGCACACACACGCACACACATTGTTGTCTTT